TTAAAATTGTAAGTTTAAATTTTGAATAAATTTATTTCAATTAATTATATTTTTAAATTAAGTGAAATAAATTTATTTTTTTTAATATTTTTAATTTATTTTATATTCAATAATGGTCAAATTGAAAAAAAAAGAATGTGATAATGAATAATTTTGTAAGAAATATTTTAAAAGAATAGATAATTTAAGATTAAAAATTTAAATGGAAAAACTATAATATTTTTATATTTAGTTAAAATTTAATAAGATTCAAACAATTTTATTATTTAAAAAAAATATAATTAATAGAAATTTAAAGCAGATGATATTTTTAATTATAGTTAAAATTTGATAAGATTCAAAATATTTTATTGGTATAATTTGTGAAAAGCTTTTATAAAAATTACATTAAAAAAACAAATACAATATTATTAAAAAATAAATTTATTTATTTTTAAAATATGAGAAACAAAATGACATATAATTTATATTATAAAGTTTAAAATATATTTAAAATTTCACCGATTGAAAAATGTATTTTTTTCTACATATATTCCTGTAACAGTGTTAAGTTATTAATAACTTTTAATTTTTTAATAATATAATTTTATTTTTCATTATGACTTTTTATTATATATATATATATATATATATATATTTTTTTTTTTTTTAATTTTACCCTTATCTTATATAAAGATTTTAAAATAAAATATAACTAATACAAAAAACATTAGAATAAATTTTACATAATTTCTTTAAATAAAAGTGTAACTTTAATTAATGAAATTATTTTAAATTAAGAATGAATTTTGATAAAATAAAATGAAGAATAAATTCTAAAATTATAAAAAGAATAAAAAAAATTACAAAGTAAAAAAAAATAAAAAATTAAATTTATCATCTGCTAGTCATACATGATAATAAACATCAGTAAAACAATAAATAAATAAAACATCAGTAGAACAATAAATAAAAAAGCCATAATTTTTTAAAAGGAATTTTGGAAATCATCATAGCAATAAGAGCAATAAAATAAAATGAATGATGGGTTGCGTAATCCGATAAGAATTAAGTGAGTCTAGTTCATTTGTAAGGATTAAAAGGATTAAGTGAGACATGGGTTACGAGTGAAAGGTGTAAAAATTCAAATACTAGTATGATCCTTAAGGTTAAAATCATATTGATAATGCTCTTATCTTGATAATATTATAAAATTTATAACAAAAAACTTAAAAGACTAAATTATTCAAATTCCATAAATCTGGACTCAATCTATCCGGACGGGAAACCCAAGTCCACCTGATGGAAGCAAAATTTTGCAAACATACACTTGAAGTAGAGCCACCAATGCTCCTATAAAATCAATAACACTTTATCACTAATATCTGTTGTCCTTCAACAACAATCAAACAGTGCTTTCTATAGAATAAATATCCTGTTTGACACTTAGTCATATAACAGAAGGCAGTCCTGAACGGATCACTCCAAACCATCTTGTTTATGATTATAATAAAACAACGCAGTTTGCTTTTACAGAAAATAAAATCCATTGATACCAAATGCTCGTATCATTTGTACTCTAAGATAGAAAAGAGTGACAAAATATTTACGGGTAATATAATGCAACAAGAAAGAAAAAAGAGATGTTAATGAGATTTTTCATGTGTCATGTAAAATTCTTTACATAACAATTCCAATCGACCCTTTACACAAATGAACCTTGCACCCCACAGCATCCTAGCTTCTGTCATAGTGTCAAACTGTGAAGGATCTACAATCCAACCGATTTATAATATTTTTCCATATATAATTACAGTAAAGGAGGCATAAACCCTTCACTACACCACTAAACAGACCCTGCCTTTAAGATTTTTCATAAAAGACATGTTTTCATCAATTATATGATTTAGAGGAAGAAAAGTGAAGAGAAAAGACAGCAACACATTAAAATTTAAAACCCTCGTCATAGTTTCAAATTAATAGCAAATATCATGACAGGTAACTGAAAAATGAGAAATAAACCGCTGCAAAAGTGACATCGTTTCAATATTTAGGATTACACTAAAAAAACCTAGATCGCCAGAGGCAGCCCATCCACCTTAAAATCCGAGCTTGGTGCGGCGCCAGTGCCTCCTCTTAGCATTATACCTGCAAATGCAAAGAAAGGAGACAACAATGACAGAGAGTGAATATGAGGAATCAATCAAAAAACCGTCTGAAAACCCTAAGAAGTTGTCGGAAACTAACCTGATAGTGTTGTCGGTCCTCATGCGGATCCAGTAAGGGATTGGCCTGTTCTGCCTCATCTTCTTGGCCAGCTTCTTCTTGATCCTGAAGGTCTTGTGGGAAGGCTACACATTATATCAATCGCGTCACATCACAATCTATAAACTTCAACCAAAACAAAACACAAACGCAGTCGAACATGTATTCGATTATTACCATTTTCGCTGTGGACGAACGCTAACACAAGCCGCAGCACTTCTCTGAAAATTAAAGAAAACCCTAGCCAGCTCCAGTCTTTTACAGAGCCGCCACAGTCCTATATATTGGGCCAGTTCAGTTCTTCTGGTACTTATGGACTGCGTGACTCATCTTCGGCCCATAAAGCCCGTAGTTTCTTCTCATTTTTATTTTTTTCTCTTGAAAGTATATTTTAAATAGATCAAATAAATTTTTTAGAGATTCTTTTGGAACAAGTACAAGTTATTTGGTGTAAAATAAATAAATATTCATACATAGTTACATATAATTATAATGATTATTATATAACTTATATCGATGATTATTTTTATAATAATTTTGTTTTTTAATAATCAATAAAAAATAAAGTCAGTGCTGGCTAGTCTTCTTATAATAATTAACCATTTCTACATCTAATTATTTAAAATGATCTCATTATTATTCATAGAAACAATGAAAATAAAAAATATGTAAAAGTAATTTTTTCTGACATGATATTAAAATAAATCATTAGAAAAAAAAAACAATGTCTAAACCTAATATTATATATTTGTTTGATGTATTATATTTTTAAATATCATTTTGACAATTTAATGTTTGAAAGGGTGATTTATGACCTTCTATTAATTTAACACTAAGATTATACGTTTTAAACATTTAATGTTTGAGGAGAAGATCAAATAACATGGAAACCAAAACATTAATTCACTGACATTATGATCCTATTTATTATATTGGATGGGGTTCAGCAACCTTAATTACATTCAAAACTAATATTCTCCACCTGCAAATTAAAAATAAAGTTTCTTATTTTGATTAACAACATTGTATATATTAATATTATATTATATATATATATATATATATATATATATATATATATATATGAACGAATCTACAACTCAATTCAATAATATAATAATAATAAATATAAAGTTTTAAAATTATTATTATATTAAAATTAGTTGTTTAATAATAATATATGATTTAAAGATGTCAAAATATAATTTATTTGTTAAAAATATGATTGTTAAATTACATTATTATATATTTATATTTTTAAATAATAACAATACATTAATATTTTGAAATATTATTTATTTTAATATAAAAATTGATAAATTAATCTAAATGATTATCTTATTACAACGTTATTATATTCATTATTTTTGTCTTATACATCCTCTCTCATTTTTCATTTAAATTATAACTTTAGAGAGTTTGACTTGATTATAAAATCTCATTTATACAATGACAAAATGTTTCTATCTAACATTACATAGTTTGTGTGCTTAACAAGTTTGAAATAGGAAAAATAAATTATAGTGGATATTAAACAATAAGTAAACGGGTAAATATCAATTTCATTACTAATTACTATGTTAAGAGTAAACAAAATCATTTTGTGATCCTTAATTAAAATGTTATAATTTTATCAAAATTTAAATAAAAATTGAAATATTTATCTTTATTTCTCAGAGTAGTTAGTTAAATACATAAAGTCCCGAAAAAAATATTAATATCTTTTTTATTTTTAAAATATTTCGTACAAAATTAAGATGATTACAAGTTTATTATGTTTAATATTTTAAAAAATATTAATAAAATAGATTAATTAGTTACATCTGGATCTTTATTATAATTTTTTTCTCCCTAAAATACTAATAATATTATGTCCACTCATATAAGTTTTAGTTTAAATTCTTCATAATTGTATTTTTTTTACATTAATCGTAAAATTATGTTAGAAGTAATTTTTTTTCTCTCATTTTTTTCTCTTACATTTTTATTTACGAATAATTTTATATATATATATATATAAAAATGATACATTGATAATCTATTTTTATATTGTTTGTAAAAAAATTTGCTAATATATATATTTTTATTTTGAATAATATTTATTATATTTGTATGTTATGCATAAAACACAAGATTATTTATTTTATATAAATATTGTTTATAGGTAGTGTGAGTTTGTGCATTTATTTATTTTATTATATATACATTTTAAATTATTTAAGTTGTTATTTAATTGGTTTTGTAGATCACATGTTTATGAAACAAAATAAAAGATTACATGGTTTATAATATTTTGTTAATTACAATAATTATTTTAAAATACACCATTTATAATTATTTCATTGCATGTATGAATATTCTTATACTTAATTTATTATATAATTATTTTTGCATATTTAATATACCAATTGATTTCTCAATTAAGATATTGTGCATTTTCAATTTCATTTCATATATGTATATTTGTTAATTTTCATTACAAATTATGATACACAATAACTTAATAAACTTTGATGTAATAATAATAATTAAACTTATACAAATAATTATGAAGGAAAAAGAAAAGGTTGATGGAAGCAGCACTAATTCCAAAGCTATAAAACCTCGGTTAAACCTTCAATCTGTGCTGGTTTCCTTTGTTGGTCATCATCCTCTGTGAATAGGGTTTACTTTCTTTAACAATTGAAAGGGCTTTCGAATCGATTCGATTGTGTCTCTCAAAGATTTGACAGTGTTTGATTGCACAATTTGGGAAGATGCCTCGCCCCAAAAGAAAAGCGGTCCCACCAATTACTTCCACTGACGTTGATTCTTCTCTTCGTACTGGTACTTACATTTCTAGTTTCCGATTGGTTCCCGCCCGCGAAAATCGAATCTCAATATTCAGTTAAAGAACAATGAATGTTGAAAAATTTAATTAACTTTTTATTTATTTGCTGGGGCGATGAGTTCTCATGTGGTGAAGCGCCCAAGTTGGCGAATTTCGATCTTGCTCGATCTCTGAACTGATCGAGGTTATATCTTTGTAATTGGGGACATATTTTCCTGTGATCAAGTTGTGGATATTTGTTTTAAACGCTTTAAATTTCAAAGCGTGAATACACAAGATTTTGGTGTTATGGTTTTATAATTCGATCACGATTTTCCAGTTTCAGTGTGCCAGTTGCTGAAAACAATATTGGATTATTTGCCTTCATGTTTCTTACGGTTAATTAAGAGGGAGAGGGTGTTGGTGGTGTTAGGTGTGTATCTTGTTTTTGGGATGCTTCCCATCAATTACTCGTTTACCCTGAATAGATATATTAGTTGACTATTTATGAATCATTTACATGTGATTGTGAATTGTGTTATAAGCAGGCAATTTGTTATTAGAATGTCCAATTATGATCTATATTATCTGTAGTGAGCAATTTGACTTGGACATTTTTAGTGTGTGTATTCAGCTAGCTTCTGCTTTCTGGTAAAGATAGAAAGCACATAATTTGGATGGTACTTGTCAAGCAAATAACTTGGGTGGTACTTGTATGGTGGTATATATAAATTGCAAAAAACACAACTGGGGCTGATAAGAGATTGCGAGTTTCCTGTTAAATAATCAATGATACCATTTGGGCTTTTAAAATCCAGAGTACATATCTTCTGTTAGGCTGCTTTTATGTTATCTGGCACTACATTTTGGAGCTTACTAGAATAGTATGATACCAGTATCATGACAGCCTCCATGTGCATAGCTAATACCAAGAGAACAATTTTTGCTCAATGCTTCTACAGTTTATGAAGATTTCGTGATATTTATGGGGGGCATAACTACGTGGTAGAAGTATTTCCCTAGTGGTGAGACCTAAGTTGTTATTGAGAGAGGCAGCTGCATCCCCATAGAAAAAATAATTTGTGTCCCTTTGGTTAGATTTACAGTGAAAAAAAAATGTAACTATTTGCAGCATGAAAAAGCACTGAAGCATAATTATTAATTATGCATGATTGTTTCTAGCTTTTTGACATTGACGTGGAAGTATTTTCTTTTATCTTTACCTTTTCCATCTAATGCTAACTCTAATTTGCTGAGTTCTTGATAGTAATTATTTCATTTCATGTTATTATTTCAGAACCAAAGAAATCAACCACAAAGCAATTTGATCGAATAGATAACCTATTTGAATCATATGCAAATAAGTCACTGGGTTTGATTGAGTAAGTATGTGCATGTTGAAATCATTGTGGCATGCTTTAATTGTGGTGTAATCTGTTTTAGGATTAGAGTTTATTATGCTTAAGTTAAATTCAATTATTTACTTGGAACTTTGCTTATGCTAAGTAGCACACATTGGTTTACTTGTTTTCTCATTATACATTTTTAATTAAGGAATTAGAAATTGTTCAGGTCTATTAATTTTTTCATATAAAATTTGTTAACAAATTAGGCATGTGTTCTTCAATATTATGGATAGATCTTTAGATAACTGTACAGAATGCATCTTGAGGTCCAATGTTTCTCTTCTCCCTCATGCGACTCTACCTGATGCAATTCTCTATACCTTTTATTTGGTTGGTCAGCCCAGACGGGATTGTGGCACTTTGTAAAGACGTGCATGTGGATCATACAGATGTTAGAATGCTGATACTTGCTTGGTAAGTAATGGACTGGATTGATTTTTCCTTTGCCTGTATATAACTGGTTTTTTAACCTCCATAAATATATGGTCTTATCTTACCAGGAAATTGAAAGCTGAAAAACAAGGTTATTTTTCCAAGGTTGGTAGATAATATTGCTTTACAATCTTATTTTAGTTACGCACTGCTGAAATTTGGGAACTACGCCAGCATGAATGCCTTATTAATTTCCCACTATCTATTCTAAGGATACACTCTTACATATGATCATGGATTTGTGCTCTAGATGGAACCCTTCATTTATTACTTATGTATTGACGTATTTCTACAATTCAATGTTTTGATTATATAATTGCATTTATCCTTTCTCTAAGTCTCTCTCTCTCTCTCTCTCTCTCTATATATATATATATATATATATATATATGTATGTATATATATATATATATATATATATGTATGTATGTATGTATGTATGTATGTATGTGAGCTCACAATGATGAAGAAAGGTTCAACCTCTCATATTGATAAAAAAAGGAGCCTCTCACTAAAGAAAGCTCTAATTTGTTTATTTAATTTGAGTGTAGCTAATAATGGAATCAATACTTGTGACTTAGTAGGGTTGGCTCTGTAAATTTCAAGTATGCTCTGATGCTGGTCTTTTCTTCATTTTTTCTCTGCCCTTCAATTTGAAGTATGTTATTTCACTTCAATAAGAGCTAAAGGTAGCTAATTGTATGGTATGGCTCTACAGCTAAACGTTTTTGTATTGAGTTCATGACATAAGAAATATTCATGACAACAGTACTATGAAAATTTGAAGGGGGGGATTGGAGCAGGATTGATGGATTTTGCTATATATAGTGAAAAGTAGTCTCTTGATGACCTTGACAAAATTCTGTCTTCAAGGAAATTATTCGATTTGTGAGAAATGGAATTTCATTACTGACTCGGAATAGGATACAAGGATGTGTATATATATGAACAACTTAGATGGTCTTATGGGCCCAAGTTTGATGTGTAGTCGAATGATTTTGTATGTGGAGGTTTCTTTAGGTATTTCTTTCACCTTATCTGTACTTTATCTTCCTTTTCTTTTTTGGTACATTGGAGGTGTGAACACCTGGGTAGAGGATTGAAGGAGGACATTTTGTAAGAGGTTGATGTTTTGGTGCCTTTTTCATTGGTGGTGAAGGACTGAACCTCCAACAACATCATTACATCCTCCAAATCTTCAAACCATCGATTACTGAAAGACTGAGTTCTCTCCAGAAAAATAGAATTTTCTTTTATACCATTAAGTGACTGAACCATGGACTGAGATACATATCCCTATGTGATCCTTTTTGAGGGTTATTCTGAGTATAATTAATTAATTTTTCATTTGTTAAAAGTTGAAAATCCTTTCATATTTGTTCTTATTGTGTGTGTGTGTGTGTGTGAGAGAGAGAGAGAGAGAGGAATAGTGTTTGATGCTGTGCTAACTAACCAAAATCTTCTTATACTGATGCCATACACAATTGTCATCATTAGTAGAGACAGCTTGAATTTCTTCATCATAATGTTTGTTTCTGGACATGTCATCTCATCGTCGTTTGTTTTTTTCCTATTCCTAATAGGATGAGTGGCGAAAAGGGCTCAAATGTTTAGAGGCGGACACACTCCCAAAGTTAAGAAAGGCTATTGGTGGACTGAAGAAAGAGGTATTTTATTTATGTTATAAGTTGCTTAATAAAGTTTTCTTGCATTCTAATCGATTTGAGATTAAACACTATGGTTGTCCTTCAAGAACATTTTTGGTGTATTTATTTTCTGTCTCTTGGTTAGGTGATGATACCAGAGTGCTTTGAGGATTTTTATTCCTATGCATTTCAATACTGCCTAACAGGTAAAATCAGTATTGCTGGGCTTTGATTTCAATTATATTTATTGTTCTACATCACTGCTTTCCAGTTATTGTATATCTGTGTAACTAACATAAATAATAATACTTTCAGAAGATAAGCAAAGGAGTGTAGATATCGAGACCATATGTGAGCTGTTGAATGTCGTTCTGGGATCTGAATTCCCCAATCAAGTCAATTTATTAACTGAGTATCTAAAGGTGGGTAGGTTTTTATATAATAATCATCTGTTGTGTTTTTATGCTTATCAGCTCTTTGTACTTGAAAGTTTTCAGTTGCATGTAAAGAATTGAGATAACTTTCAGTGATGTCCAGCAAATATGGTAGAATGTGAAAAATGTTAATATGTTATTTTCTTATGTCTAATTATTGTTCCATACTAAAACTATAGCTATTTGTTTATATAAAGTTTTGTTTTCTTGTTTTTCATGATCTAAGAGTAATGCACATTCTTGAAATATTTTCCCATGGAGGGTGTATAATAAAATGACGGTGATTTCCCTCGGTTACCCCTTGTATGATACTCACTGATGTTTTCTTTAGGTGGAAGATGTTCAATAAAAATTTAATGCTCATACGGATTAAATTATTTTCTTATGGTTGAAACACTTATTTGGCAGGTCCAAAGTGACTACAGGGCACTAAACATAGATCATTGGAGAAACTTTTATCGGTTTTTTAAGGAGGTAATGCTGTTTTTATTTTTTCTTCCATTGCTTTGTGGATTTTATATAATACGACTTCTGATTGAGTTTACTATCTGATTGAGGTTAATTTGACTATTGATAAATATTATATGTTCTTGGAAAATTAAGAAGCCCTTAGTTAATTGTGAAAAATAAAAATAGTAGGTTAGCCCTCCGAGGAAAATTTATCTAGGAATATTTGTCTACGTTCTATTTGACATTTACTTTTATGAAGACAGGGATTTTATGGATCAGTTAGTTCCTTCTATCAGTAAATGTAAATACACCATAAGAAATCCATCTTGGAAAATTCGTAGTCTCATGATTTGTGAATTGAATTTACTTTGTGCTAGTCTTCTTTTCCTCCTCCCGATTGTTAAATAAACACAACTTCATCTTGTTTATATGCATTATTGGTGTAAGCGAGTGAAAAGACTTCACAAGCTTGACTTGATTTAAACAATTCACAGTTAAATCTAAGGGTTGACTAGCTCAAAATATGAAGTCTTCTTAACTATTTTATAGCTTTATTATCCTCTTATCCCTCTATCAAATTCAAATATCTTATTTTAATTTTTAGTTTATTATTTGATAGACATTTTCACAAAAGACGAAGTGAAAATAGGAAGAGAAAGAGTTGAAATTTTTTTTGAACATAGAAATTAGATGCTATAATCGAGTCTTGCTAACCAGTGAACTGAGGAATGGAGGGCATTGATTAAAAAAATTCCGTAACAAGGACGCTGTTTAATGAATCAAACAGAAGGATAGAAGCTTTGATTAGAAATGACATTGGTTCAGTGTACTCAAATCATTCTAGAAAAACTCAACTCGTCTATGCGTTTGTGATAACTTCTATAGGAATAATGTCTAATTATCCATGTGTATAAATTGTACACTTGTACATTTGATCGGTGAAGTTGGCGTGCTTCATTTTTAAAAGTCGCAAGCGAAAAATATGCCTCACGTTTTGTTGGTGGCAGGTAAGCTTTACGGATCTTCGAAGTTATGACTCCAGTCAAGCATGGCCCGTGATCCTCGACAATTTTGTTGAATGGTTAAAAGAAAAAGGAGAGAAAATATAGTTCTCACCTTTCTCAACGTTCAGTTCATTTTTAATCTGCCAACTCCGAACGAGAATACTGTTTGAAGCGGATATACAATTGTATATGGCTGATCTGAGTAATCAGTTCCCAGTTTTTCTGCAGAATTAATCCCATGTAACAACTTCATGCAGTGTCAACTGTCAGTTATATTCACTTTTCTTCATATGGAGATGTTGTTTTAAGCAATTTTGTTTCTTACTGTCCCTTTTTTTTTTTTTTTTTTACATTTATGTGACTTATATTCAATTTTATCCTATTAACTACAGTCTTAACTAGAATTGAAGTTTGAATCTGGATGTTGATATAATCGATCAAGAAAGAATTTTATTTTTTATAATGTCCAATGCGTAGGGTTCATACTTTTGGACGATCGTGGATAGAAATATTAGTTTGTGGACTTTATGATTTAGAGAATGATTAACATTATGTGTCTTTAAGAAATTAAAAACGATGCAGTTGGTACAGAGAGCTTTGTAGGAGGTTTTTTCATGGGTTTTTAGCAAAGAAAGCTTGAAACTTGATTTTCCGCTGAGACTTGGTGCTTTTGGGTAGGGATGCTTGGGTTCAAGGGAGGGAATGAAGCTTATAGGAAGTTTCTTGATGGGTTCTTGGTGAAGGAAGTTTGGTTAGTTACGAATCTTAGTTCTTGGTTGAGACTTGGTGTTTTTAGGTAAGGGATGGTTGGGTTTTGTTGTGGAAGTGATGAGGAAGTTAGTGATATAATGTTCTTGAATTTTGGTCGAGATTTGAAGGTGAAACAAGGAAAAGGCTACGAGCTAGGCGTAGTCGGCTTGTTTCTTGGTTTGAATGTTGGCAATTTGTTTTCTTGGTTTGGTGGGCTGGGATAAGGTTTTGGAGCTTGCAAGAACAAAATAAAAAGATACAAAAATAAACAAAAGAAAAAGGAGAAAGAGGGCACGAAAGTCTCACAAAATTCATGCTTAACCAAGAAGTAAACAATAAATTTGACTCTATTTTCAGAATTATCATAAATAAGAAACTCACTTAAAGAAATAAGGGATCCTCACAATATCACCTGAACTCTCTGTAAGAAAAAAAAAATCACACTTAAGAAAAAATTCACACCTGACTCTATTTTCTTATGATTCTTCTTTAATGACTCAATTTTTTTTTCTAGATTTGTTTCATTATATTGAGACTTGAACTTGAATTGTGTTAGATTATGATTGCAATTGTAATTTCAATTTTCATAATGGAATTTTAAAGATTTTCTATTGAACTAATATGAATTTCTATGTTTATGGAGTTGTCACAATTCTACTACATTGGATGACTGTTTTACATTTATAATTCTGAAACATGTTTTTTCCATCAATTTTTTTTTATTCAATTCAACTATGAATTTTTGTTGTTCTATAAACAAATTCCTTTTTTAACTACTTCAATAAAAATAGAGGTTATGATATAACATGTATCTTCGATGTAACTTAGTCACTATTTTAAGAAAATCTAGTAGCTTTTAGTAGTGTTATAACATGTTCATAAATTTTAATTTATATTTTTGATATAAATGGTGACAATAAAAATTAATTTTAAAAATTATACAAATTACTTTAATTTTTTACCACTATAAAGTTAACTATGGTGGGCTATATGCATAACCTTTTGTCACAATTTGACATACTTTAAATTTTAAATTAGTTTATAAGAAATGTAATAGTTGGTATAGAGAGAAGATGAGAAGAAAGAATAATGGGTGTTATCGTGGGTAAGAGTTGAAAAGAAAGGGTTAAAAAAGTAAGAAGGAATAATGATAAATTTATGGCTTATAAACCACTGATTTTATGGGATATTCACTATAAGTATTGATAAGCTCTAAGAAGGGTAGAAGAATGTTCAACGGAGGGAATGAAGTTTTGTAAAAGATTTCTTAAAGGAAGCTTGATTCTGGGTGTTTTTGGGCAGGATGGTTGTGAGGACCAGATTTTCCATGACCTAAGATTAAATAAAGGAACATTCACTTAAATCAGCCCTCCAAATATTATTTTTAATATAAAATCTTAAGATAATTTATCTCTGACTTTTTCTTATTTATATAATATTCATTTATTTATATACTTTTATTTACACTTAAATTTTAACATTATATAATTTTTCATACATAGGAATTCTCCTTTTTTTCGAGCGGAAACATTTTTGTTTATACATTGACCAAAATAAATTTGTATTGAGATTTGGACTATATTAGATAATGATTGATTAATATGATCTAATTAAAATTAAGTAATTGATCACTTAAATTATTTGTTTAATGGAGTTTGAATTATTTTATCAAGTGTGAATGTGATTTTAGTTATTTTAGTTTTCATGATTTATGATTTTCTAGTTATAATTTAATTAATATCAATTTGTATCTTTAAGGAGTTTTGATAATTCTACCACAACATGGTTTGGATTCTTAGATCAACGTTTTATATTTTTTATTCTAAAACATGTTTTTGGTTCAATTTTATTTTTGATTTAGTTTTTTTTATTCTATAAACAAATTGGATGCTGTGATATCATGTCTTCTATAACTGTAATCTAAATAAGTCTCTGTTTTTGAAAGTGTTACAACGTTGATAATAATTGATTATTATTATTTTTTAAATAAATGGTGACATTGCATAATCTTGTCACATAATCTGAAGGATATGAATTAATTTTAATTTATAAAAAAATAATAATATTTTTAAGGTATATTTAGAAGAAACTTTTTCATAAACACTTCTAAAAGAAAAATTAAAATTAGTTTATATTTAAATTAAAAATAAGATTTTAAAGGAACTAATTAAAAAAGAAATTTTACAAATTAACTTGTGTATAAGTAATTTCAACTTAAATAAATTGGAAATCTTTATTATATATAAAAGGATGGGAAAGTTTTCGTTTTCATTGGATGATGTAGGTGGGATGTGAAAAATAATGAATTGGCATCTACTTGTGATTGAATCAATGATAGTAAAAACAAACGAACTAACCACACTCAATTTTCAGTTCACTCCTCCGCTCTCGTTTATGCAAAGCATCCATGAACTTTGAGCTGCAATTTTGTCAATCAAATGCCAATAGTTAGATCTCTATAATTCAAATTTATCTTCATCTCTCAACAAAATCTCTAAAAGGGACTCAATTTCCCACATTTTGTGCTTTGATTGGAAACAATAATTGTTTTTTATTGAAGAAAAAAAAGAAAAAAAATGTATAAGTTTTAAAGCAATTTGCTTTACCTTGTGTTGAGATTTTCCAATCGCTAGTATCGAGGCCAGCAGCCCAAAAGAAATACCCACGAAGATATAGAGATTGAGCAAACGCAACCTTAACCGCCACCGTTACCGGGTCATCGTACCCGACCCAATAACCCCCACTGTAAGAATAAACCGACGCCGTTTTCTTGTCATGCACAACATTCGCACCCGTTTCGTTATTGAACTCCAACACCTGAAACAGCGCCATCGAACCATCCAACCCGGGACCCGCACCAAAAGTCGGAGCCCCGATTCCATTCACACTCGGGTCAAGTAACTGCCACGTCCTCCCATAAAGCGGTAAACCCATCACAATCTTCTTCGGAATAACCCCGCCCCGGATCCACGACTGTAACCCGTAGCTCACACTGGCATTACTTTTCGGGTCAAAAAGCCCAGCAGGAGGCCCGGTACGGTTACTCCACGGCCCATGAAGATCGTAACTCATAACATTGACCCAATCTAAATTATCGTTAATGGAACAAACCGGGTACCGCAACGACGTCGTTTCAGATAGAAAGTAATCGAAGGAGAAGTACACGGCGGCGGTGAGGAGAAGCGGTTCCCGGGAGGTGGACGCGGCCTCGGCGAAGATGGCGGCTCGCCACTCCTTGAAGAGCTGGCCGAGGCCGTTCATTTCGTTCGCGGTGCGAGGGAACTCCCAATCCAGGTCAACGCCGTGGAAGCCGAAGGCGCGTGCGACGGCGATGGTGGAGTTGATGAAGGCGGCGCGCGCGGTGGCGTTAAAGGCGATGACGGCGAAGAGCGCAGCATCGGAGTTGGCGCCGCCGATGGAAATGAGAGTTGCGACGGAAGGGCGGAGCGTGGCGGTGAACGTGGCGAGGTTTGCCGCGGTGGAGTTTGAGACGTGGAGTTCATAGGTGGCGTTGTTGGGTGCAAGGAAAGCGTAGTAGACGTGAGTGAAGAGTGATGTGTTTATGGCCGAAGGAGGGAAAAGTGGTTGTTGAAGCCAGTATATAGCTTTTATGTCAGATGTGGAACTTGAAACGGTTATGACAAAGAAAATTGGTAAAAAGAGAAAACGTAGCATGTTTACACTTTGTTTATAAAATTTTTTGAAGAATGGAACGTGTATAAATAGGACTATGCAAATTTCATCATTGGTTGATTTAGGGTTAATGCGTTTTTATACTTGGAAACTGGTAATGCAATTTGGTTTGGGAAAGTGTGAGAATCTTGGAAAAAATATTGTAAGCTTGGCCGTCCATGGTTGGTTTATGGACAGAATGTTTATGGATTCTCTTGCCGTCGAAAGAAGCACACAAACGTGTTTCTGCACATAGTGCTTCAATTCACTTCATTTTATTTTCTAAGTCAAATGGTTGAAACTCAGCAATGGCATGCATATAGCTTTGTCAACCCGTTCTATCTCATTAATCTGTGGCAAAAAGTTTTAGTAAACAATGTAACATCGCTCATTAATAAGATGTAATAAAAATGTCAGATTAAAACCATGAAAACAACAACCAAGAAGAAGACCTAGGAATAGAGAAAAAGTTAAGAAAATGCAGTTTTTGGTATTATTTTTCTTGCTTGACATCCTTAAAAATAACATAAAAAAAAATTGGTCATGGAAAAGGTAGATATTATTTATTCGTAAAAATCTCGTTCAATATTTATCAATCAGTTTTTCTACTCTACACTTTTGTTTTCAATTTTCCTTATTTTGTGTGTCGTATTGTCCTTTGAAATAGTGAAGGAGGTGAATGAATAAAGAAAGTAGAATTACTATGGTTGACTTGTACGGGGAGCCCTTCCTAGCGCCACAAGTCAGCAAGCAATTCCTTAATTAAATTACTCAGACAGCACATCATGATAAATAGTGACCATCTATTACCCTAATCCAGGAGTTAATTTAATTTATAATAATATAAATTAATAATAATTAATATATTTATACACTCTTAAAAACCGATAATAACGATTAACAAATTTAAATATATAAAATTAAAAAACCAAAGACAAATTAAATACTTAATAATAATTTTAATAAAATCAAGAATACATTCTTATACTTTTATATATATATATATATCCCCTATTGTAACCCATAGAATAAAATGAAAAGATTGTTCGTAACAAAAAAAAAAAAAATACTACAACATTTCTTGATTAGCTGGTTAGAACGTGCCTTGGGATTGACCACTTGCTAAAGTCAGCTTGTGAACTGAATTCTTAGGTGATGATTATGCACTTGATAAGTGTCAATTTGTATTCCAAGCAATATAATATGTATCTTTAATTTATACAAAATTTCATTAATAAAGCTGGCATTTACTGCAAGGGTTTCTTTGGAGGGGATAAACTTTTGAAAATTGACGGTGACGGCCTAAGTACTGCAAGCTGCACACACTGTAATGGACCTGTAATCTCCTTCTACACGTAGAAATCATAAAGTTAATGGCTCCTTGGAAGAAAAGCGTTAGAACTTTTGTTTTGAAAATTTTAACCGAATAGGTAGAGTCAAAATAAATTATTGGCATGGGTAAATTATGTTTTAAAATATAATTTCCAGTGAAAGATATTGTTTTAAATCACCACTACTTATATTGTTCAACAGGTGCAATCAAGTAGCAAAGAATATGGGATGGCGGTTTTTCAATTACACAACCATTAGTAGTTTGCTTGTTAGTGAAGTGATATATTTTTCTTTTGTGGACCATTTATCTCACTAAAATTCCTTACAAAACCATAATACTTAAACATGTAATTTAGAATTAGTGATGAAACGTGCTAGGCTTATAAGATAAGTTCCAGGCTTAGTTTCTAGTTTTCAGCTGTGAGGGAATAGATAGAGTCAAATGAAAATGACTTCATTGAACTAGAGTGTCCTCTTCTGCTCCTTCATCTTGGTGCCAGTTGAGAAATTGTAACATCGTTGATTGAATAAAACTTGATCCCGCTGTGAGATGTTTCTTCCTCATCTCCACGTTTCTGGACTGAGAATGCAGGCATTTTGGGAGTACCAACAGCTGCACCTTCATTCTTCAGCAGTGAATCAACTTCCAACATGGAAGGTCTATCTGCAGAGTTCTCTTGAACGCACAGCAGAGCTACATGCATGCATCTCATGATTTTACAAGGTGAGGCTGCATCATCCAATGAAGGGTCAACAAACTCCGCACCTCTTCCTTCCCTCCACAGTTCATATGCCTGAAATAATAACCCACATGAGTTATTTCAGCATCAAGCAAACCAAGAATAGATCATAAAGTAAATAGAATAGTCATACAAAAAAAAAAAGAGATAACTTACATATTCCAAAAGGGTCATATTTTCATGCATGCCATAATAACATGAAGTCCTCTTTCCGCTTATGATTTGCAAGAGAAGAACTCCAAAACTATAAACATCGTACTTGGTTGAGTATATTCCTTTTCTCACGTATTCAGGAGGTACATACCCACTGCAAAGCCAACAGGAAGTGATTAGAGACAAGAAGAAAAACCATAACACATGACCAATGCTAATTCACTTACTATGTTCCAACTATCCTTTCTGTGTTTGCTTCAAGGTCATATTTTCTGAAAATTCTAGCCATACCAAAATCGGATATCTTCGGATTCATATTGTCATCTAGCAAAACATTACTAGCTTTAAGATCTCGGTGAATTATAGTAAAATTTGAGTACTCTTGGAGATAAAGAAGGCCTTGAGTAACGCCTTCAATGATATTGACACGCTTGTTCCAGTCTAAACGAATTGATTTGGTTGGATCTGCATCAAGTTCAACCCTGAATTATTTAGTCACATAAATGTATAGATGAATTAAACAGTACATTCAGGAATGATTGCTGATTTGAAGCTTCATAGAGCTTAGCAGTAGGTTAAGCAGCTTAGTAGAAATGTAACAACTTAATGAGGAACAATTGATCTAGCAACAGACCAAAGAGGAAATGATCTAAGCTTTTGTTTGGCAGGTATTCATAGATCAGAATCTTCTCATCCCTTTTTGTGCAGTAACCCAGAAGTCTAACTAAATTCACATGTTGTAGTCTTGCTGTAAGCGTGATCTCATTCTTGAACTCTTCAGGGCCTTGATTTGAGGTTTCTGAGAGTCTTTTTACAGCTATTTCCTGACCCTTCCGTAATTTGCCCTGACAGAATCAAGCCATAGCTTAACCATCCGAGAATTAAATGTCAAGATGCAAATACGACAGTTTTATATAGATATAGATAGATAAAAGATTTTCCCAGTATTGTGTCCTTTAATCAATTGATCACTAGATAGAAAAAAAGGTATATCTAACAAACAACAACTCTATATCCACTCCAAACATTGGCATGTAAGTATTGAGAATAAGCAGGTTCCATAACACTTTATAGAATGACTTTCAAGGCTATGATTTTCTCCTATAAAGCCTTTGGTTACCTTGCCTTATTAGGTTCTGAAAAAGTATATATATATATATATATATATATATATATATATATATATATATATATATATATATATATATATGAAAACAATGTTAAGTGTCTAGAAGTTGCATGAGATGTTCAGATTGAAACATCCATAATAAATTTAAGGGTTAGTAGTAGTTATTTTTCAAGTAAAATTGGCAACTTTGTTTTTTTTTTTTCTCTACTTTTAAAATTCCAGTTTTTGTCACGTAATTTTGTAAATACCTAAACTTTCATCCCTCTAATTCTTTTGGTGATTAAAGTTTGCATTATTAGGGATCAATGTTAGGAAATATATAAAATGCAGGGATAAAAAGTGATAAGTTTAATAGTCAGAAACAAAAGCCAAATAAGGTTACCAATTTTATATGGACGAAAAACACTGTTATTCCTAAATTTATAGTAGCAGATGCAAAAAAATTGTTGGCATTGCAGATAAAGGGTGTTTTGCCTAACCGGAGACTGAAATGTTTGATTTAATACCTACAGAAGCAAATAAAGAAGACATCATCATCACTATCTTCCCACGGAAATAATGGCGCTAACTTTCAGTTCAGATATTCCAATTGCTGGAAGCATATTTCATTGACAGATGAATTTCCAAATCTTACCTTGTAAACTGTGCCAAATCCACCCTCTCCAAGCCTATTATCTTTTGAAAAGTTATTTGTTGCCACTTTAATTGTGAGATAACTGAATACTGTCAAATCAGAACTGTTTGCATCCATATCCTTTTCTGCTTCTGAGAAGTGTATCAGTTTATAAAATATTTTTGTAAAAGTGGCTACTGTTCCTGCCAAAATGGTGGGACATAAATTAAAGGAAAGATGTATATTTTCCAATCTCTTAAAATGTAACTCGATTTTTTCCCTCTTATTATTACATCCTTACCTCGGTGGTAGAAGCAAAATACTATTCCCAACAGAAGCGCCAAAGCAAGAGTTGCAAGCAGAACAATTATAATCAACCTCCTCTTATGATGATGATGATCAATTTTTTCATCTACTGCTTGAGCTGAAGGATTATGTTGTAAAGGAAGTGATGCATTTGATATGTTATTTCAGAAACTAAGACGAATATTTTATGCTTAATAATATAATTATAAAAATATAATCCACCTCAATCCATTGTTCTGTAACTTACCTGCCCCTGTTGAAAGTTCCCAATTTTCGTCATTGCCTACTTGGAACACGTTGTAACCTAGTAGCCCATTTTCCTTTGCATAAGAAACTTTGGCCCTGATGACCTCCACATCATCAAAATTAACCCAAGTGGTGGATGCAACAGTGAACTGCTTCACCACAAAACTTGCATTGTAATGTGGAACAACTCCATTTCCAAAGCTTTTAATGTAACTCTTAATCAACTTATAAGCCATGGAACCATCCATTGTAATGGCAGGTCCTGAAGCTGGTGCACCCACGCCACTGTTTGGAGCAGGAGTCACAAGTGTCCACGCATATCCATGGTAAGGCAACCCAATTAACAGCTTCTTAGACGAAAACCCCCTCCTCCTCCACTCTCTGATTCCAGAATCAGTGTTATCCCAATTAGATGAACCATACAACGCCGCATGAAAAGCCGTGGCATTGCCCCTCTTAGGAAGATAGTAATCATAACCCACAAAGTGCACCCACTCCAAATTCTCCTGCATTGCATCAAAGGGGTAACTCAAGGAATCCGAAGTCTTAAGGTAGTAACCTGCCATCACCAACAACAACTCTGGCTTGCTAGAGGTTCTTGCCTCAGAAGTTATTGCAGCACGCCACTCCTTCAAAAGGGTTCCAAAATTGGTAACCTCGGAACTTGGCCACGCCCCAGTAAGGTCTATGCCATGAAAGCCATAGAACCTGGCTGCTCTGATGGAAGAATCAATGAAAAGCTTCCTGTGAGAAGATCGGTTAAGCATTGAGGTGAACACTGAAGAGTCCTCCCTGCCACCCCAGATGGATAAAAGCGTTGAAACAGATGGATTTTGGAGCTTCACCGTGTTGGTGAAGGTGGAGAACTTGTGCTCCTCCGAAGAGTTGACGAAGATGTTGTAGTTGGTGGGGTTTATGAAGGCAAAAGCGCACAGGAGGTGGGTGAAAAGCGTGGCTTTGATGTCCGAAGCAGAGATTTCATTGCCCGAATAGTAATAACCGGCTTTCACCCACGAAGGGTTATCGGCAAAGGAGTGAGATTTGAAAGAGATGAAGGTGAGGAAGACAGTGAAGAAAACGATGAGATTAGAAGACATGGTAATAATGATGAGAACTGAGAAGTGTCATCTCAGTCTTAAGAGACAAATGTTGATTTAGTATGTTGCCAAGTGCTGATACTAGCACCGCTCCCTTTTCTTCTTTGTTGCTGTTACTAACTAACCTTTTCACAATCAAGAAAATTACACAACTGGATTCAAGCATAATAACAACCATAATGATGGTTCTAGAGTGTGTCTGTTACGTTATCAGTTACAATACAACTGAAGAGTAAACGCGTGTGTATGACGTCTATGTACTTATTTTCGTAACCTTTTACATTCAACAAAGACCACAAAACAATCTCATTTTGCTTCGACAAAGACATTCTAGAGAGAGGTTAAAATAACTGGATGACCAAAGTCCAAAGACCTAACATGGTTCTTTATCATCTAAATCAAATGTTTCTTTAAAAGGACCAAAGAAAATCTGTCTTTCTTATATGAATGGACTGAAAAATGTTGCTTTCTTTATTGGAACAAAAGCTTAAGATATTTCCCACTAAATAGCTTAGAATAGAAGGGAGAAGAGAGGAAAAAAATAAATGAAAGAAAGGTGTTAAATTACTAAATACCCTGACCAAAATAGCTAAGATCATGGGACAAGTTTGCTTGTTTTTTTCAAAGAAAAATATTATTTATCAATATTATAAAAACTAAAAAGTGGTATATAAAACATAAATGGAAGGGTAGGCTCAATGGCTCAAATCTCAAATGCTAATTTTGTGATTAGGAACAAGAATTCAAGAAATATTAGGGTAAGACAATTTGACTGGTACAAGTAATTAGTTACTGTGGAAAAATTCCCTCCATGTTTCTCTTTCCAGCAATGCATGATTATTCTTTTCAATTTGTAGGAAAATGTCTCCATCTCATTGCCCTTTTTTTTTTTCTTTCTGAAGTACAGAGACCGTTTGAAAGAACCTGGGACTGTGTTCCCTCCCACCTGAATATTTTTAAAAAGTATAAAATAAATTTCTATAATATTAAGTACAATTTTAAATCTAACTATTCATTGTTAATTTAGTCACTGAATATTAAAACTATTATTATTGTTTTATTAGACTATCGATTTGCATTATAAGAATCATGTTTTAATTATTTTCAATTCAAAAATTAAGGTGAGAATGTGAAGAATCTAATAATCATTTTCTTAATTATTATTTCCTTATTATATTTTTTTATTTAAATATATACATATATATAATATAAAATTAAATAAGTTAAATATATAATTAAGTCTTTATGCATATAGCGAATACTGAATTTAGTCTCCACACATAAAAAATTATTAAACTGATAATCCATGTATGCATATGTAAACGATTATTGATTTCGAGCACAAATACTCTTTTTACATTCTTAATTATAGTCCTTATACGTGTAACACATTGATTTGGTCTTTGTGTAAGAATCAAGTTAATTAGAATTTGTTATATATACAAGACTAAATAAAGTGTTCAACCTGTTAAATAATAATACAAGTAGTTCATTTATTAGTGATTTAAAAAGTATAATTATTATATGAATAAAATGAATATTTCGTGAAAAAATTATATAACAAAATAAAACAAAGATGTGTACATCTCATAACCTTTTACATAAACTTTACACACACACACACACACATATATATATATATATATATATATATATATATATATATATATATATATAATAATAATAATAATAATAATAATAATAATAAGCTAGAAAAAAGATATACTATGTGCCTCTTTATATTTAGAAAAATAATAATAATTCAGTAATAAAGCGTAGTTTGTAAAATACACTTAAAAACACGAGTGATTAAAAAGTATGAATATAAAAATACATTGAAAAATTATAAAAAAATATAAAAATAAAATACCAAAAAACATTATTGAATGAGTTAATTTTAATGTTTATATAACTTTTAATTTTATATATACATTAAAATGAAATATATGTATTATTACTTTTTATTTTACACACAGTTGTCGTGGACGAGTTCACTATGCACACGTCTATTAAGAATCTTTATTTTGTTTCTATTTTCTTTTTTAAAATGAGTTGTTTAAAATATTATTAAGAATAAAAGAAGAAAAAAAATGTGATAAAAAATGTGATCATAAATGCGTTCATTACATGTGGTATCTTTTTGATGGCATAATTGAATAACTGTAGGAGGTAGCAATCTCAAAATTGATGTTATGAATAATCGTCAATAGTACTATCTGGCTACCACTTCAGTGATGGTTCCATCGTCGACTGAAAATTTTTTTAAGGGTTGGCACTCATTTTCATCTTCCTTGTCTTCCACCTGTGAAAATGCTGGTCTCTTGGGGATGCTTTGAGACTTATTTTCGTTTCTCAACATTGAACAAACTTCTACCATGGAAGGCCTATCACTTGCATGTTCTTGGACGCATAACAAACCAACTTGCATGCATCTCATTAGTTTGCACTCTGAATATGTATCATCTAGTAAATCATCCATGAACTCCATACCCTTCCCTTCTTTCCATAACTCATACGCCTGCATGCACCCGTTACACTTTAAATACAACATCATAGAACAAATCAAATAACTATCTCCAATGGTTATTACTTACATACTCCAAGAGCTTTAAATCTTCGTTCTCTCCATAAAAACCATGAGTCTTCTTGCCACTTATAATTTGTAGGAGTAGAACTCCAAAACTATAGACATCAGACTTAGTGGAGTAGACGCCTTGTCTAACGTATTCAGGAGGAACATAACCACTGCATCACATGAATAATGGGAATACTATAAGTAAACTGATAAATATGTGATTATGAAAAGCACAAATGGTGGAGCTAGCTTTATGATCAGGTCAGAATACTCACTATGTTCCCACAATCTTGCTAGTGTTTGCTTCTTGTTCATTTTTTGTGAATATTCTTGCCATCCCAAAGTCTGAAATCTTTGGCTTCATCTCTGCGTCTAATAAAATATTGCTAGCTTTTATGTCTCTATGAATTATGGTGAATCTGGAATATTCTTGAAGATAAAGAAGACCTTGCGTAACTCCCTCAATGATACCAAAGCGCTTATTCCAATCTAACGAATTCCGTCTAATAGGATCTGTGTGGAATTTCAGATGACAGAGGATATATCTACCAGTATATATGCAAAACTTTAAATCATGAAAATTTGATAAAAGTGACACATGGTTAATATATCTACCAGAAAATGAATGAACTCTCCCAATTAAAGCTTTAACTTAAATAGTGTTGCAGGTATGGTATTTCGAGCATATATATAGAGTTTAAAGCTGCAAAGAAATCAAACCAAAAAGGTAGAAGTCCAAGCTTATGTTAGGCATGTACTCGTACACCAGCATCTGCTCCCCTCGTTCAATGCAGAAACCTAACAACCGGACAAGATTTACATGTTGTAGCCTTGCTGTTAGTGTTACCTCATTTTTGAATTCCTCGAATCCTTGTGTAGATGCTTTTGATAATTTTTTTACAGCTATTTCCTGACCATCAGGTAGGATGCCCTGAAGGAACAACACACATTGTTAGGATAACATTATTTTACCAAGGTTTTACTCATATTACCGAGATTATAATTACAATTTAATTTCCATTCCTGGGGATGGAGAAGACATAGACTACTACTAGTGTTGGAAAATTAAGTACAGGTCTAAGTCTCGCACAAAGAAAGTAAGAAAGAAAAAATCGAGTGAAGAATGGCTCGTAAACTTATTTTTTAAGATTTTGTGTTGAAGATGCTAATACTAGAGAATTTGTTTAGATTTATATCCATCCAACCAAGATATCATCTCTAACATATCTATTCAACGGGCTCCAACACATTGAGTATATAAAATCATTTATAAATTTTTTTCTAAAACAATAAATTTATTAATAAATAATAAGAGAATAGAACAAGATATTTTGATTTCTTTTATTTGTTTTCGCAATGAGTGACGTCAACTGGTTTATCTAACTATGACCAAACTAATCCTAAATCTTATGTCAAAGACAAGAAAGTTGATCGATAGGGTTCTTTAGTCAAAATTTCTTTTACCTTGTAAACAGGACCATAACCACCTTGTCCGATCTTATTTTCAAGTGCAAATTCGTCTGTAGCCGCTTTAATGTCAGAAAATCTATAGACATGTAAATCTGGAGCATTCCCACGAAAAGGTTCTCCAGCTTCTTTATTATTATTCATGATTTTAGTCCAAGAATGTTTGGCAGCATTGAGTAGTGTCCCTGCATATACTTCAAGTAGTAAGTTTTTTCAATGATGGGCATTTTCGTTTCAACTCCAAAATCGCAAATAAACATAGCTAGTTGAGAAATTTACCGGTTGTTTTTATTACTCTCTTCTTTTGGAAGTAGAATGTGATACCTAACATGAGTATAACGGTAGCAGTTACACTCAAAATTATCACTAACAATTTCCATCGTTCCTCTTTGTCGTCGTCAACGTGTTCAGCTGAGAACGTAAATTGATCTGTACAAACAATGTATGTTAAAGATCATGTAAATCCGAATTTGTTGGCACAAACATCATTCAAAAATATGATTAACTTTTTTTAAAGCAAAATACAGAGTGCTAATGCATTATTTGTAATTTCAATAGGATCAATCAAAGCGTATTCCAGAAATACAAAAACAAAGAAATTCTACTATCAAACTACCAAATCTAAATGGAAGCCAAGAAATATAAGTCTGTCTGTCATCTGTGAAGATTTTAAATAGATTTAGCCTATAAGTATATCAGGGTAGTGATTGTTCACTATCTGTTTTTAATTTATATTTCCTGATCAATAATGAATCAGATGAGGTATTTTCTTCCTTTTTCCTGCGTGCACATGTAATCCGTGAAGGAAATATTTACGCATAAAGAAAACATTAATTAGAGAGGCTAGTCAAATTCAGTTTCCAGCACACACTTTTGAAACTTCTGTACCAAAGAAAGCGAAGTCAAAACTGTGGCCAATGGTAGCGAAATTAGTTGCGTGTGTACCTGCTGCGCGACTAAGTGTCCAATTGTCGTCATCGTGGGAAATTTGCCAAACGTAGTAACCAAGTAGCCTCATTTCTTGGGCATAGGACACCTTCCTCTGAACAGCTTCAATGTCGTCATAGCCAATCCAGGTGGACCCAAATGTGCAGTAATTTGTAACATAACTATCATTGTACTCTACTGCAGCCCCATGTTGCTGAATTTGATTTTTTATGTCCTTGTAGCTTATAGATCCCTGGTCAGTGTCATCTGCTGGAGCCGTTGCCACTGCTCCTATTGTGTTGCTATCTGGATTTTGGAGTTTCCATGCAGATCCAAAGAAAGGCAAACCCAAAATCAACTTGTTAGCATCTAACCCCTTCTCAATCCATGCCCTGATATAATAGTTTGTGTTGATGTAACTAACATTAGGATCATATAGAGCTGAAGGTGCAGCAGTGAAGTTTTGTGTCCTGGGTGTATGGTAAGAGTATGTGTTAACATGTACCCAATTAAGGTTGCTTCTGATTGAGTCCACAGGGTAGGAACCGTTATTCAAATCGGGTGAAGCTTGAACTGCAGCAGTTAGGATCAATTGTGGGAGTGAAGAGTTAGCTAGGGCATCAGATTCTGCAGCAACTCGCCACTCTTGGAAGAGCTGTCCCAGGTTGTCTGCATCGGAGGATGTTTTGATGGTGGACCAGGAAAGGTCGAGGCCCTGAAAGCCGTAAAGCCTGGCCATTGTTATGGAAGATTGGATGAAGGGTTTCCTTGAGGAGGCTTTGCTGAGCATGGATTGGATGGCGTCGCTGTTTTGGTCTCCGCCAGTGGAGAGAAGTGTGGTGACGGAAGGGTTGTTGAGTTTGACAGTGTTCGTGAAAGTGGAGAAGCGTTGGTGGTTTGTTGGGGAGAGGGAGATTTCGAAGGTGGAAGTGTTGACTTCTGCAAAAGCGCATACGAGGTGAGTGTAGAATGCAGAGTTGATATCAGATACGGGAAAGTCGCTGCCACTGTACCAGTAACCGATTTTGAACAAATCAGAAGCTTCTTCTGAGGATTGAAACATCACAGAGCAGGTTAGAAAGTGAAAGGAGAGAAGAAGAAGGACTCTTCTGGACGACATTGTTGTGTCCAGGTTTTTAGGTTACCTTGGAGAATATTCACGTGACATTAGTACTGTGGTGAATAGAGATTGGGTCCCCTGCAGGCCAACGTAGGTATTAGTAAAGTCGGCCATAGAGGATTATGGAGTTAATTATTATCTAATGGGCCCGAGGTAAAGAGGTAATTAGGAATAAGGTAGTATTGAGGCCGATAAAGATGGAAACAATAAAAATAAACTAAAAGCTAACAGAGATTGGAAGATAAAAGGGCACGAGAAAACCTAAAGGACACACCTCTCTTATTCTAGAACATTGGCGTCTATTGTAGACCAGGTAAAAATTTTCCTACTCCACATACGAAATATAAAAAATGATCATGGTGACTCGTACCAATAACCGTAATAATCAAGATCTTAACAGGGTTGACTCAAACTACTCCGCAATGCAACTAATCCTGGAGCAAATAGAGGAATTGCGGTGACAGACTGAGGAGGCCCAGCGTATGGCAATAGAGGCGTCTTGGGTGCAGGATGAATTGTGGCGACAAAATGAGGAGTTGTAAGCAGCTACCGAACAACAAATCTGATCCAGCTGAAGTGACGATGAGGAAGAGATAGTACAAAAGGATTTTCAGCCTTTTGTGCAGGCCATCATGGAGGAGTCTCTGCCCCCACATTATATTACTCCTAAAATCGATCGATTCACTGGAACTCAATATCCATTGGCACATTTGAAGGCTTTCAGGACACAAATGATTATCAGCGGTGGGTCTGATGTTGTGCGCTGTAAAGTTTTTGTAGGTACCTTATGGGGAACGACATTGGATTGGTTTAGCGGTCTCCCCGAACAGTCAATATCTAGCTTCGATGACTTGGCTAAGGTTTTTGTTGCCCATTTTGCTGCTAATAAACAAAGGGCACCCAAGACGAGTGATTTATTTGATTTGCGGCAAGGACGAACCGAATCCATAAGAGCGCACTTGCATCGATTTGGTAGCATGACCGTTAGGATCCTACCTCCCAATGAAACCATGTTTGTGGATGCTTTTATGAAAGGGTTGAGGGCGGACCCTTTCATGGAGTCTTTATAAAGGCATCCATGCAAAACAATGAAACAAGTTCGGGCTCGAGCCACATTCCATATTGAGGTCGACCTACAGTTTGCCAACGCCAGGTTGTCGAACAATTGAAGTTGCAACAAAATAATGCAGTAAAACCCTTTCGAGCCCGAAATATACAAGGGTCGCACAACCAAAGGAGTTATCATCCTTATGACAAACGTAGAAATCCTAATCGACAGATCACGAAGCCCAATACTAAGCAATATCAGTAACAACCTATTTCGCTTAACGTGTCAAAGAAAGAATTGCTACAAGAAGTGAGAGCAATTGGAGTCCTTCATTTCCCTCGTGTCACTCATAAGCAACTCGATCCTAAACAACAGGCGTGGTGTGAATTTCATAGAGCTTGAGGACATGACACTAAAGAATATCAAACGCTAATACACCAGGTGGATTGTTTAATCAGAGAGGGTAGGTTATCGATGTTCAGGCTAAATTGATTGCCAATCCGCCTCACCAATTCCAGTCAGGGACATCCTTTGATAAGAGGGGAAATGAGTCATCATGTCAAGAGGGTGAGCATGAAAGAGCTATTCTTGGAGATTTCAATACCATATCTGTGGGGTTTGTAGGAGGTGGAACCACCTCTTCTTCCAGAAAGAGATATGCCTAATTCTTACAACGACAACAGTAACTCGATCCCCACATACCCCAGCTATTATGTTCACTGATGAAGATCTATTGGACGTCATTTCTCACAAAGATGACCCTATCGTCATCTCCATAATTATGAGAGGACGAAATGTTCACAGAGTTTTGGTGGATCAAGGTAGTTCAGCGGGTGTCTTATATTGGGACGCTTTTGTAGGACTTCAAATCTCTTCAGACCTCCTACAACCATTTTCAGGAGTTCAGGTGTGATTCACGGGAGAACAAGTTGAGGTTCGGGGATATGTAGAGTTACGTGTTACATTTGGCGAAGAAGTATATTCAAAAACGATAATGATAAAATTCCTAGTTGTTAATGCAACATCATCTTACATGTTGTTAGGGAGACCTTCTTTGAACAAGTTGGGAGTCGTCGTATCAACTAAACACATGAAACTTAAATACCCCATTACTAATGGAATGGTAGGAACTGTAAGGGTTAATCAACAGATTGCGCGAAAATGTTATGAAGGAAGTCTTCGGCAAAGAAGGGTATTATCATCGAGTCTGAATAGCTCAGAAGTTCATATGTTGGATTTGGACCAACGTGTCTTCGAGGATCGTTGACCTCAACCAGCGGAAGATCTGAAAAACGTCTTAATTGACGATAACAAGTTTATCCAGATCGATATTGTTGAATATAGAAGAAATAGAGTTTGTGATTAATCTCCCTTGTGTATAAATCACACATAGGGTAGTCTATTTATAGTAGAGAGATACAACTAAAAGAGTAACTGAAAGTAACAGAATAAACAGAAGATATTGTTTGATATTATGGTTAATATCTAACAATATCTTAACAATATTAAATAATATCTAAACAATATCTAACACTCCCCTCAAGCTTGGAGCATACAAATCGTATGTGCCAAGTTTGTTACAAATATAATCAATTCTAAGACCCCGTAAAGATTTAGTAAAAATATCTCGCTAACTGATCACTTGAGTTAACAAACTCGGTCTTGATGTCTCCAGACATAATCTTTTCTCGAATGAAATGACGAGTCAATCTCAATGTGTTTGGTCCTCTCATGAAAGACAGGATTAGAACTAATATGAAGAGTAGCCTGATTGTCACACACAAGTGACATTTGAGTGACATCTCCAAATTGTAACTCTCTAAGCAATTACTTGAGCCAAACAAGTTCACAAGCAGCTGAGGCCATAACTCTATATTCTGCTTCTGCACTAGATCTTGCCACAACACTTTGTTTCTTACTTTTCCATGAGACCAAGTTACCACCAATGGAGACACAATATCCAGATGTAGATCTTCTATCCGAAGGAGATCCTGCCCAATCAACATCTGAGTAGCAAACAACTCTTGTATGGTTATTAGAATCATATAACAATCCTTTTCCAGAAGATCCTTTAATATACTTTAAGATACGAATGACTGCATTCCAATGATCTTCACATGGGGAATTAAGAAATTAGCTTACCACACTGACTGCAAAGGAAATGTCAGGACGAGTAACTGTAAAATAATTCAATTTTTCAACCAATCTTCTATACTGCTCAGGATCAGGTATAAGCTCCCCCTGATTTGGTAAAAGTTTAGTATTGGGATCCATGGGCGTATCAACAGACTTTGAATTCATCAACCCAGTTTCCTCTAAAATATCCATGGCATACTTCCTCCGAGATATAACAATACCATCATTGGATCGTGTCACCTCAATACCCAAGAAATATCTAAGTTTGTCAAGATCTTTGGTCTGAAAATGGTGACGAGAGATGTTGTTTCAACCGAGAGATGTCATGATTGTCGATGCACTGTAAGAACGATGTCATCAACATATACTATCAAGTAAACACATCCGAGCACTTGAGTGTCGATAAAAGACGAGTGATCTGCTTCACACAGAGTCATACCAAATTGTTGAACAACCTTGCTAAACTTTTCAAACCAGGCCCTAGGAGACTGTTTTAGGCCATATAGGGATTTGCGAAGACGACATACCATCCCGAGAAGACTCCCCCGAGCAACAAACCCAGGAGGTTGCTCCATATAGATTTCTTCTTGCAAATCACCATTGAGAAAAACATTTTTAACATCTAGTTGATAAAGAGGCCATTGTTGAAGAGCGGCCATGGCGATAAATAAATGAACAGAAGTCATCTTTGCCACAGGGGAAAAGGTATCTCCATAATCCAACCCAAAAATTTGAGTATAACCTTTGGCCACAAGACGAGCTTTGAAGTGATCAATAGTACCATCAGGTCCAACTTTGATAGCAAACACCCACCTGCAACCAACAACAGATTTCCCAGACGGTAACGAGACCAATTCCCAAGTTCCACTATTATGAAGAGCACTTAGTTCATCTAACATGGCCTGACGCCAACCAGGATGGGCTAAAGCTTCACGGACAGTTTTTGTAATGGTCACAGAAGAAAGAGAGGAAAGACATGTATAAAAAGGTAATGACAGTCGATGATAACTCAAACCAATATAATGAGAGGGATTACGTGTAGAACGGATACCTTTTCGAAGGGCAATGGGAAGTTCAGACTCAGGTGTCACATCCGGAGGAGACAGAGTAGTTGGCACTTGAGTAGAGTCACATGGTGGTGGTTGTGATTGGTTTCGGCAACTATAAACCTGAAGAGGCAGTGAAGAAGAAGCTGACTGCGAAGTAGAATCTAATGGTGAAGAAGACACAATTAGAGGGTCACAAACAACAGGAACATTAAATGTACTAGGAGTGTTGAAAAGATTGGATGGAGACAGAGGTGAAGATTGACTTTTAAAATAAATAGAGAACTTATCAAAGGTGACATCTGCAGACACAAAATAATGGTTAAGAGAAGGAGAAAAACATTTGTATCATTTTTGTGATTGTAAACCCTAAGAAAACACATTTATGTGATCTAGGAGAAAGCTTGTCAAGACTAGAACTAAAATTATGAACAAAACATGTAGACCGGAAAACTTTTAGAGGTAAGGGATGAAGTGGTTCATGAGGGAATAAAATGGAATGAGGTATTTTATTATCTAGAACCGAAGATGGCATGCGATTAACAAGATAACACGCAGTAAGAAGAGCATCACCCCAAAAATGCTGAGGAACCTCTCCATGAATTAAAAGAGTGCGAGTTGTTTCAATAAGATGTCTATTTTTACGTTCAGCTACACCATTTTGTTAAGGTGTATAAGCACAAGAAGTTTGATGCAAAATACCATGAGAAGCC